AGTTGAGAGTGGCCCAAGTGCTTAGGCCACTGTACACACACAGAAGAACTGGAAGAAGTCCTGGTTTTTAGAACTGGCCCAGGGCTGGCAATTGTGAACATTCAGGAAGTGAAGTAGCAGATGGAAGAGCTCTCTCTCTCTCTCTCTCTCTCTTACTCTGCCTTTCAAACAAATAGTCACCTTTACTTGATATGCCATAGCAATAATCTACGCATAAATTTTAAAAATCAGAACTGTATGTCAAAAATCATTTTCTTTGTTTTATTTTTAAAAAGAAAATCAACATAAAAATAATAACCATGCAGTTAATTAAAGTATGAAACTAAGTTCATTAAAATATGAGCCTAATTTACTTTAGAGATAATGAAATAGGGGCCACATCCCATATAAGAGCCAGTTTGAGTCCCAGCTGCTCTAGTTCCAATCCAGCTCCCTCAGAAATCAGAAAATGGCCCAAGTACTTGGGCTTCTGCTACCCATATGGAAGACCCAGGTGGAGTTTCAGGCTCCCAGCTTTGACTGGCCCAGCCTCAGCTACAGCAGTCATTTGGGGTATGATTCAATGAATGGAAGCTCTGTCTCTCTTTCTCTCTTTGTGTATCTCTCTCACACTCTGCCTTTCAAATAAATATGTCTTTAAAAGAATAAAAATTGTGGAAATGGAGCCAGAATGTAGTAGGCTTACAATACTTAGCAGAGGAATTTGAGATTTATTCATGAAGTAGTGAGGAGATGATTTTTTAACATGGATGGTAAAAAGTATACTAGGATCTGATTTATATAAAGACCACTTTAAAAAGAGCAGAGGTTAAAAAGCAGGAGATGCTCTAAGTGCCTGAAAGTGTAATAGAGAGAATAAGAGCAGAAAGGATTAGATGAGGGCTAGATCTGTTAGACATTATAATAAAGTAACCGGGAATTAGGCATTGATTTCATTGGCAGAAGAACGTGCTTTTCTTCATTTGGAATGACCCTTTCTGTGTATGGCTAAGAGCCCAAATTCTACAAAATTCGAGAACAGCAGGGCTTTCAGTATATTTGGTAGGCAACACTTTATCTGTGTCAGAGTGGAAACTCTGGAATGCAAATCCTGAGACTGAACCAGCCATGCCAAGGTCTGCAGACTCATCAGCACCTGACAGTTCTGTGAATGTTGGCTCTGTCCCCAGATTCCCATAGTAATAACAGCTGCCACTTTCTGCTTACCATGTACTAGGCTCTGCTTTGAGTGTGCTGTTTGTTTAATCATGTCCAAAATTCTCAGAGATCATACTGTTAAAATTACTTGATTTGAAATGCAGAAATTAAGATACATACTTGCTTACAATTCATACAGAAAGTATGTGGCTGAGACAATATTCAAATCTTAGAAAGTCTTGCTACTTTATAAATGGCTAAAGATCCTTGAAAGTAAGTGATAGAAAGAAGAAACTTTGTGGTAAACTTTCTCTGCCTTGTCCACTTCCGTTGCATCACTTCTCCTTTGTATGTTAGCTGATATTTTTACAGTAATTTTTATTCAATCTGCCTATGATTAACTATTCCAGTCCCATCGTGAGCTGTCTCCCAGTCACTTCATAGGAAATCCCTTCTTAGTAATTACTGTATCTCTGCCTTTTGGATGCATCTATTGGTAAATTTTCCTCCTGGCTTACTCTTGGAACCTCTGTAGCGATATATGAAAGAGGCTATGTATAAGTTTGAAGCATTTTGTACCAAAATAAACTTGTTTTTAATTCTCTTTTCCCTGAACTTTTTGAAGTACCCTCATATTTCAGAGTCAGAAAATGAATGGAGCTGATAGACTGTGGTGATAATCTGAGCAGGGTTTCCTTATGAGTCAGTTCACAAGAATGTGGAGGGAGAAAGTTTTATCTTCATTACAGGCAGAGGTCAGAAATCCTGGAAAAGGAAGCAACTTTTTCATTTAAAAAAAACCTTATTTATGGGCCCGGCGCAGTGGCGCAGTGGTTAAGGCCCTCGCCTTGCATGCCCAGGATCCCATATGGGCGCCGGTTCTATCCCGGCAGCCCCGCTTCCCTTCCAGCTCCCTGCCTGTGGCCCGGGAAAGCAGTCGGGGACGGCCCAAGGCTTTAGGACCCTGCACCCGCGTGGGAGACCCGGAAGAGGCTCCTGGCTTCGGATCGGCTCGCTTGGGGAGTGAATCATTGGACGGAAGATCTTCCTCTCTGTCTCTCTTCTCTGTTTATCTGCCTTTCCAATAAAAAAAAATAATAAAAATAAATCTTTAAAAAAAACTTATTTATTTGAAATAGTTACAGAGAGGGGGTAAAAAAGAGAAATTTTCCATCTGCTGGCTCATTCCCCAAATGACTGCAATGGCCAGTACTGACCAGACTGAGCCAGGAGCCGGGAGCTTTATCAGAACCTTGCATATCTGTGCAGGGGCCCAAGCATTTGGACCATGCCTCCACTGCATTCCAAGACAATTAGCAGGAGCTGGAACAGAAGTGAGCAGCCAGTACTTGAATGGCTCCATTACACTACACTACACTACAGTGCTGCCCCCAGAGGAAGCAAGTTTTGCTGATGGGAGGCTATGCATGCAAATAGGAAGCCAAGACAACTACAGCCAGCAGGCCAAATTACCCAATGATCAGTGTTTTAGGGCACAGTTTTGGTGCAGCACAGTCATGCCCATTCATTCACATTGTTCATGGCTGCTTTTGTGTTAAGACAGCAGAATCGAAGAGTTGCATTAGCAATAATCTGATTCACAAAGACTAAGATATTTCTTTATCTCTTTACGGAGAACCTGCCAAACCCTTAATGTTTAAGATAGAACATCCTGTGTATTTAGAGCTTTCCGTGCAAGAAAATGCTGTAAGATTAAATTTGTTTTATTTGTTTATTAAATACTTATTTATTTGGAAGAGAAGAGTGACTGAGGGAGGTAGTCTCCCTTCTGCTAATTTTCTCCCCATATGACTGCAGTGACCAGGGTCAGGCTGGACCAAAGCCAGGAGCCTGAAACTCCAGCTGCATCACCCATAGGCATGACAGGGGCCCAAGCACTCAGGCCATCTTCTACTGCCTTCCCAGTCTATTAATAGGGAGCTAAATCAAAATCAGAGCAGTTAGACTTTGGAACTGGGGTTCTGATAAGGGATACTACTGCCTTATACCCTGGCTGTAACATGCAATGCCACAATGCCATCCCCTAAGCCTGTGTTTGAGATACAGCACCAAAGGAAGAATTTAGATACAAGGGTCAGAGAGTGAAGTTCCCAAAACTAAACAGAAAAGGACTATGGAGGGATTGGTGCGATAGATAGAAAAGACCAGCTTTTCGAGATGCCAGTGGAGAGAAGTTCTTCCGGATTTGACTGAAGTTATGTTTGTACCTATATATATTGGGGAAGGATGGTCTCCGTTTTGCAAAAAATGAGAGGATAAAGAAAGAAACAAAGTACAAAATGAAAGTAGCAGGAAAAATATCCTTTCAGTGCCTTTAATTTCTTATTGTAATTCCAGAAATCATCCCTAAGGCTGTGCTGCCAAGGTCTGTAATTGTTAGACAGCATTGCCCCTAGTGTCTGAGTAGCAGCAACACACTCTAATAGACTGTTGAGATGACTTGGCCAGGAATGAAAACAATTACTAAGATCATATTGCTCAGTTTTTTTTTTTTCCTTTTTTGTCAAAGCTAATAGAGTTGACCAGATGTACTCTTACCAGAAATACATTGGCAAAATCTACTTGTTGGGAGATACTGTGAAGGTGGCCCTGACTCCGTTTTGTTTTTTTCTTGTGAGAACAATGCATGAAAATCTGAATTATAAAAATAGTAATATCCTTTCTCAAGAGACTACCTCCAGCTGTGCCTTTACAAGGGCACAAACTAAGAATAACCCTGTACTGAGTTTTGAGGGTTACTAATCATTGGGCAGGCTACTGAATTCATGAATTGCCTGTCTCTATATCCCACACCAGGGTTTCTGTTTTTGCGTTGAAGTCTCATGAGGCCATAACAGAAGATGCCGAAGCAGTATCCCCTCCTGGCTATACAATTACAATACCCCTGTCATATTTTGAAAAATAAATGTTTTTGTTGTTGTTGTTCCCAAGTCTGTCCTTTCTCCTCCAGGGGATGGTTATAATTGATTTTTTTTTAAGATTTATTTTTATTATGTTTTTATTGGAAAGGCAGATATACACAGAGGAGAGACAGAGAGGAAGATCTTCCGTCCAATGATTCACTCCCCAAGTGAGCGCAACGGCCGATACTATGCCAATCTGAAGCCAGGAGCCTCTTCTGGGTCTCCCACGTGGGTGCAGGGTCCCAAAGCTTTGGGCCGTCCTCGACTGCTTTCCTAGGCCACAAGCAGGGAGCTGGATGGGAAGCAGGACTGGCAGGATTAGAACCGGCGCCCATATGGGATCCTGGGCATGCAAGGCGAGGACCTTTAACCACTTGCGCCACCTCAGCGGGCCCTATAATTGATTTTTAAAGGGTTTAAGGGTTTATTTCAAAGGCAGAGATACAGAAAGAGAGAGATTTTCCATCCACTGGTTCACTCCACATGGGGCTTCATCTGGGTCTCCCACGTGAGTATAAGGGCCCAACTTGATGACCCTCTGCTGCTTTTCAAGACACATTAGTAGGGTGCTGGATTGGAACTGGAGCAGCTAGGACTTGAACTGGTGCCTGTTATGGGATGCTGGCATGACAAGCAGCAGCTAAACCCTATGAGCCACAACTCTGGCCCCAGCTATAATTCTTAACTGAATGGTTTTCCCCTTAACCATGCATACTCACTGGACATGTTGAAAACACTCTTCCAGGGGAAAGCTGGACTGCCTTTTCTCACTAGACTCAATGAACCAGGAATGGCATATAAATTTAATACATAATTTTATATATTTCATATAGCAGGCTTTCTGTGACCTTTGTTGTGTTCTTAATCTTCAATTTGTTTGACATGAATAATCAGAGTGAATAATGACTAGTTATAATAATGTCATTATGCTTCTTGCAGATTGAATACGTTCAAGCATAGATTTTGTGGCCTTGTTACCCAAAAGGCTCCTGGCTTCTCTCCTTGACTGAAGATTTCCTAAAGAGGTCATAACTCTAGAATACAGGTGAGTAGAAAGCACCATTGTCCTCCTTCCTGCCTTTTTCTGTTTTCACTACTTCCTTCTCTTTTTTCTCTCATTTCTGGTTCTGAGTATTTTTATGACACGATCTTTTTTACTTTAATATTATTTTATTGTGGTGAGGGCACTTAACATGGTCTCTACACTCTTAACAACATTTTAAGTGTGTAATACAGCATTGCTGACTGTGGATAAAGCATTGTATTCATTGGTGTACCCAGACCCAGCATGTAGACTAGAAAGCATTCTACAACAGGAGAATGTGAAAGCCTCTTTCTAGAGCAGTCTGTGGTTTTGTAATTAACTGTTTGAGTGGCATGGAAATCATTGATTAACATATCTGATCTCAATTTTTTTCATCTTTATTAAAGGGGCATAACCAGATGAACTATGAAATATATTTACGATAGATACCTTCAGATCCATGAACATATCTTTTGTGGTTCTTGGCATTTCTATGGGAGAATATAGAAATAGCAAGAGAGAGTGAGAGAAAGAACATAAATATAGAGATTATTCAGTGATGGAGGAAAAGAGAGGAATTATTTCTAACCCATGGCAGCTATGGAAGCCTTCCAACTGAGGTGAGAGCTGAGCATGATTTGAATGTAGTATAGAAGACGATTTCAGGTTAGAGGCTTGAGCTTAATTCCTTAATGACTAGAGAAACAGCTTATGTCTTGGAAACACTGCATGACCTCTTTGAAACTCAGTTTCATCCACTGTTATCCAGGGATAAAACAGTACAGTTGATCCTCTGCTTCCATGAGTTCTGCATATGTGGATCCAACAACCATGAATTAAAAATATTCAGAACAAAACAAAGGAGTGTATCTGTACTGAAGATGTACAATGTTTATTCCTAAAAAATATAGTGTAGTAGCTATGAACTTTGCAGTTATATTGAATATTTAACATTGTAAGTTATCTAAAGATAATTTAAAGTAAATAGAGTGATATACATAATTACATGAAAATACAGTGCCATTTTACATAAGTGACTTGAGCATCCTTGGATTTTAGTATCTATGGAGAGTTCTGGAATCAATCCTGTGGATAGTGATGAATGACTGTCGTTTATCACAGTTAAATGAGTTCATATGTATAAAGGCCTTAGAGCAGCATATGGTAATTAATAATGTTTGTTTACAGATGAATGCTAGGAGACTAAATAAACTTTTCAAGAAATACTTTCTGTAGGTACTATTGAAGCTAGAGGCTAGAGTTCAAGAGTCAATTGTACTTTTCCCTTTACTCCAACTGTTCCAGGTACCTGGCCCCTTTGCTGTTTGTTGTCCATACGAGGTGTAGTCCCTTGCTCAAGACTCTTGCATTTGCTGTTTTCCCTATCTAGAATGATTTTATCCCAGGATATCTGCATGGTTTACTGGTTCACCTCCTTCAGGAACTGAATTCTACATTGTCTCACTGAGGCCTTTGATATCCTCTTCCAAAGAAATGCCTCACCTCACGCCACCTCACCAGCTTTGGTTTTCTCCCTTGTTTTTTATTGAAACCCGGTACACAATGTGTTTTTTTAATTTTTCTTCCTTCACTTAAAAATATTTATTTATTTATTTATTTATTTAAAAAGAGGAAAAGTCCCATCTGGTGGGTCACTCCCAAAATGCGTTCAGTGACCTAGCTGCGTCAGGCCCACACCTGGAACTGGAAACCCAATCCAGGTCTTCCACATGGGCTGCAGAGGTACTATTTGAACTATCACCTGCTGCCTCATTAACAGGAAAGTGTAATTGACCACAGTAGGATCTTGAGTCAATGCAGTTTTTGATAGGGTGCAGGCATCCTAGCTAGTGCCTTAACAGTTATACTGCACAAAATGCCTGTTCTATGTCTTATTAGAATGTAAGCTACATGAAGACAAGGATTTTTGTCTTTTTTGTGCACTGTTGTGTCTCCAGAACATAGACTAATACTTGGCACAAAGATGCAGCATATATTTTTCAAGGATTTCTTTAATTTATTTGAAAGGCAGATTATGGAGAGAGAGGGGGAAAGATATGGAGAGAAAGAGGTCCTCCACCCACTGATTCACTTCCCAAATGACCACAATGGCCAGGGATGGACCAGGCCGAAGCTAGGAAACAGGGGCTTCCTCTGGGCCTCCCACATGGATGCAGGGGCCCAACCACTTGGTTCATCTTCTGCTGTTTTTTTCCCAGCCATAAGCAGGGAGCTGAATCAGTAGTGGAGCAACCTGGATCTGAACCAGCGCCCATTTGGGATACTGGTGCTCCAGGTGGTGCATTAACTTGCCATGCCACACCATCAACCCTGCAGTAGATATTCAATAGATACTTGTTAAGAATGAGTCATTCAATGACTTGAATGAGATTGGATTTAATTAGGGAATAAGAAAAGTAAACTGTCAAACTGTGCTCGAAGACTATTCTAGTATAGTAAAATGTTCCACATAGATTCGTGGAGGAATCTATGTGGAATCTGGGTAGAAAGCAGGAGCCAGACTGTAGTAGTTCCTGTCTATTTAATAAAGAGGATTTCAGGTTTATAATGGGGGAAAAGTTAAACAAGTAATGTTTGTTTTTTTGTAATGCTCAGAAGTACCTGGCTCATAGTGTACATGAAACGTATTTTCATCACATATTTATTTCATACGTGAATGAATGAGTTCAAATCTATACTAGATAGATTGCTCTTGGAATGATGAAACTTTGCTGTTGAATTACAGGAAGAAAGAAACCAAGTACAGTTAGTTTTGGAAGCTCTCCCAGGAGTGTGGATGAGGTACAATCAGTGCTTAATATTAGGTTAAAGACCATGTAAATAAACAGTAGACACTGGTATGGCTTGGGACTATATACTTCAGATTTTGTTAGCATATGTGCAGAATGTACTGACAAGTATAGTCTCTTCCAGTGCATAACTCACACACTAACCCATAATCAGCTGATAGGTTTTTTTTTCTAGGTAGAAACAATATGAATATAAACCAAGAATCTCAGCATGAGCCTCATGATAAAATGACTGAGCTTCTGGCCACTCTGCTACAGAATATGTCACTTTGGAAAACTCCTTGGACATCTTTTAACTTTTTTTCATCTATACCATTTTCTGTTTTTTTTTTTAAGATTTATTATTTTTGTTGGAAAGTCAAATTTATACAGAGAAAGAGATACAGAGACAAAGATCTTCCATACACTAGTTCACTCCCCAAGTGTCCGCAATAGCTGGAGCTGAGCCAATCTGAAGCCAGGAGCAGGAGCCAGGAGCCTCTTCTAGGTCTCCCTCATGGGTGCAGGGTCCCAAGGCTTTGGGCCATCCGTGACTGCTTTCCCAGTCAAATATATATATAGTGACATACAGATATGCATATATTCTTCACATAGTAGTCTGTTTATGCATTCATTTTTCTGCTATAACTTACCTTTTCTTGCAGGCACTGTAATATAAGATGCTCCTCAGAGTCTTTACCTTCAGAGGTAAAGACTCCAATAGGAAATTGGAAAATAGAGCTCAGTATGAACAGGGGTATCAAGAAAGTCCAATGTGTACACTACTTAAGAGAAACACTTGACCAAAATTTGTATCTGGAACAAGCTGATGTCTAATCTGAAGCCTAAAGAATAAATAGTTACTGCACAGGTAAGGAGAGGTGAGAGATAGTGTTCTTGGCAGTGTAATTTGGCATATGTGTAGTTCAGAAAAACAAGGAAGTTATGCAGAGTTAAAGAAATGTGGATTTTCTTGTTCTTGTCAAGAGTGTGGAAAACGATGTTGTAAGACCTGGGAGTTATTAGGTAAGTGTGTAAAGCATATGTTGAGAAACCAAGTTAGTAAGAAATTTGATTAACATAAGGGCTACTGGTAGCCTAAAATGTGTAAGATTTAAGCTTGGAGGGCCCAGCACGATGGCACAGTGGTTAAGGTCCTCGCCTTGCATGCCCGGGATCCCATATGGGCACCGGTTCTAATCCCAGCGGCCCCGCTTCCCATCGAGCTCCCTGCCTGTGGCCTGGGAAAGCAGTCAAGGACGGTCCAAGGACGGGACCCTGTACCCGCTTGGGAGACCTGGAAGAGGCTCCTGGCTTTGGATCGGCATAGCATTGGCCATTGCGCTCACTTGGGGAGTGAATCATTGGACGGAAGATTTTCCTCTCTGTCTCTCCTCTCTGTATATCTGCCTTTCCAATAAAAAAAATAAAATAAATCTTAAAAAAAAAAAAGATTTAAGCTTGGAATGAAATACTGGAGTAAGGTCTTTCTAGTGTGGTATCTGGTTAAAGAGGCGCCATTACACAGTTGTCAGACATGTTAGAATGTCTAGTCTATATGTGTGGGTGCTAGTTCTGGTATTCTGTTTTCTGAAAAATTGTGAAGATTTATCAAGGATTTTAGTATATTTTTTCTGATTAAAGATTTATTTACTTGCATAGGAAAGACAGATTTACAGAGAGAAGGAGACACACAAATGAAGAACTTCCATCCACTGGTTCACTCCCTAAATGGCTGCAATGCCATAGCTGAACCAATGCAATGTCAGGAATTTTTTCCAGGTTTCCCACATGGGTGTAGGGTCCCATGCTTTCCCAGCCTGTAAGCAGGGAGCTGGATGAGAAGTTAAACAGTAGGACATGAACTGGTGCCCATATGGGATGCCACGCTTGGAGGTAGAAGATCAGCTAGTTGAGTCATCATACCAGTCCCTAGTATATTAAAGATTTTAATTTTTAAAGACTTATTTAGTTTCTCTCATAGCATTCAGTCATTGCAACAAATGGTCATCTTCCACTGCTTTCCCAGGCTATAATGGCAGAGAGCTGGACTGGAAGAGGATTAGTTGGAACTGGAACCAGTGCCCATATGGGGTGCCTGCAGTGCAAGGTGGAGGATTAGCCTGTTGATCCACCATGCTGGCCCCAGTATATTCTTAAAATATAAAAGGGTTTCTAAGATGATTCAAGTCTTTTTTGTGGTATGCCAAGTGATTTAACTTCCTATAGTGA